AGGAGATGAGAAGTACCACCGAGCAAGAAGAGGCTTAAGGTGTAATCTGGTTTTGACTCTCACATCATACTAATTTCAAGAGCAATGCACTCACACAACAGGTGTGCAATGGGACGCAATCGCATACGGTAAACTTTAATCTAGATCTTATTGAATAAAAACTTAAGTAAGCAAGCAATAATGATACCGACGAAATAAACAACAGTGAGTACGAACAAACTCGCATCCGCCTTTTCTCAACACATTTTTCGATTAGATGATAAATTTAATTACATCCCGAATGAATACATCGCTCAAAGGCCTTGGATACAGAGATCAGGTGAGTGTATGATTATTCTTCATTTTTCATTTCGCGTCGACAAATCAACGCTTGGCAAAATGTATAATGACAACTTAACGACATTTTAAATGTAAGCAATTTTGGCATCCCCCCACTAATTTCCTTAACCGATAAATGCAATTCTATTTTTAATTGTCCGTTCTTTCTAAGGATTTAGACTTAAATTGCTTAGGGCACTGATTACTAAGTTTTCATCTATGAATTGATGTCTGGATCTTGTTACATTTGTATTTTTGTGTCTTAGGTTAGAATATGCTTGAGGGACACTATACTATAGCATCAATAAAAAATAGTCTTTAACTAACATTTAACTAGCATTTCAATAAGCATCATATAAAGAAAGATCTCCTTCCTTAGCAATAGCATAAGTCATCCCAGATTTTGAAATATTTACTCAAGCACTTAAATAAAAAAACATGATTTTACTCGATAAAAAACCCTGCTCTACAAAAACAAATTATTGGCTGAATCCGAATTGGATATAGTGATTCTTTCGTTTTGCTCTTTACTTTATCCTTTTTTGTGATGACAAATTAATCAAATAGTAGAGTGAAAGTTGTTTTGATTATTTTATCTATCATTTAGTTCTGACGTTAAAAAAATACTTTATCACATCGACCATATACTTCTGGTCATAGCATAAAATTATTCACCATTCAATCTCTCGGAGATACAGTATCGCGGAATAATATGCATTGGCAAATGTAGGCATAAGGAAATATTATATGGGATGTATTCACCCTATTTCGTTTAAGGTGATGAAGGACTGGTAGTAGAATTTTCCCACAATTATATGAGGTGACATTTCCATTGAATTTCTCATAGCCTTGCTTTCCCCAAAGTTGTTCTCAAGGATATATCGACAGTTAAATCCTTGAATATGACGAAATTGAAGGCTCCTAAGAAGCAAAATTTCGGAAAGCCAGACGGTAATTTTCATATTTAGCAGGTAACAACTGGAAAGCTTATTAGATGTGGGTTAAATGAAAGCCAGTAGCCATGACCCAGAAGCACTGTAAACCGCATTTAAAACCGATAATGATGCTTCACTAAATCCACTTTAAGCGACACATCCTTCAGCGACAGAGGAAACGAGTGCATAATGATGTGAATAGACAACCTGGCGAGCTGAAATGGGGTTGAGAGAAAGAGCCTTAATGAAATGAAGCCTTACAAGCTAGGACCAAATTATGGGCGAGGAATGATTCCACGATGGTTGGACAGAGAATTAGTCAATGGAATTACCTTGACAAGTCACAGTGACAAGTCGTAACTTTCTGCTAACGACGGCGCCTCTTACTGACGATGTTGACTACGATGTTTGCAAAACATGCGGGAGTGCACCAAGTCAATGCTCCGATGCTGAAAATCATTATGCTTACTATGACAAAGAACGCAATACCAGGCATTTTCTAAAAGTCTCCCCCCTGTCACCCCAACAAAATTGTGAAAACGAAGACTGTAGACAAACTAGGTCTACATTTTCTTGGTAGTCATAGCAAAAAAACATAATTTACATTACAACAACACAACCCTATTCACCTGATTTTAGCATCTTCAAAATCATATTCTTCAGTATTTCGTAATGTCATGTTGCCCTCAGCATAGTTCATAAATTACAATTTGTCAAAATGGAATTGATAATTTCACATTATTAAGATGACCTTGTCGCCACCGCAAAGAAAAATCCTCGAGTGTAATTTATTAAGGAATGGTTCTTAACATGGTTTAATCGGATCTTTACGGAAACGGGATTAGAATTATCCTTAAGCAAATAAAACGTTTTTGTATTAAATTCAGCATATAGATGTGACATGAAATTGCACAAATGTGACACACTATATAGGATATAAATGGCTTAAATTACATAATATGATCAGACACGTTGTGATGAAGATACAGACCTCAGCTGGCAGGTTGATAGGAATGCGACCAGGTCTCTTGGCCAGATGCCAAAGGAACGCCATTTGTGATGTTGATGTTGTTACTATCGTTGACGGTCGTAGTATTTATATTGGGATTGTTACTGCTCGCGTTACTCGGATTTGATATAATTTGTGGAGTCGGTTCCTGGGAGAAAGCTTGAAATGTTTGAGTGCTTATGAGCTGTTGGTATTGCTGATGCTGTTGTTGTTGATGATGTTGCATTGCGACCAGTATTTCACTAGCTAGCTGTCGAATGAGTCGCGCACAAGCCAGTTGGTCTTGATCTGGCCCTGGACAGGCAGCTGCACCAACAGCAGATTCCCCTACAGGCTCCACGCAGCCAGTGCTTTCCCGAGCAGGGGAGAGAGAGAGTGGCAAACAAGAACATGGTTCTGTTGAAGTAGAGGAAGATGAACTGGAAGAGGAAGCCCGGGGTTGACAGACAGAGCAGGGACCTGCATAAGTGGAAAGAGGATGGAGGTTACCTCACAGGCACTAGAATACTAAAATTATGGAATGGGACAACTAAGGAAGAAAAACAGATTTATATATATTTATCGTATGTAAGTAGTTTCGAGACAACCAATATATATATAAATATATATATATATTTTTTTATTTATTTATATAGCCCTTAGATATTCATTATATGAGTTAGCTTCGTGGGCTAGATTAGGGCGATGATGAGTTGATGCTTCTTGGCCCGGTATATGAAAGTCACTTAGAGACTGCTAGAATAGTGCTATGATCTGATTGACTAGTAGAAAAAGTTCATTACAATATTAATTAATTTGTGGAATGGGCGCACAAATTCAATCGATTACGCCAAATCTCATTAAAACGTATATGTTAGTTGGAAAGTAAAGTAGAATGCAAAGTGAACACTAAAGTGCTCCTATCCAAAGATAAAGTCTTATCGTGATCCGTGAAATAAGTTAGTTAAAGCTCCCATAAATTTATCGGTAGTCGTAGCGGATAATGTCATCATTTATATTAATCAGGACAATACAAGCTATGTTGATGTCTATAGAAATTCAAGTAAAAATTAAAATGATATATTCTCGAAAGAATAGGAAATGAATCTATTAGAGCTGCGTATAAATTAGGTATGATTTAGAAACAGCATCATCATCAACAACAAATTATACCGAGATGATAAGTAAAAAAATTAATTAAAGAAGTTAAACTAATCCATATGGAGAATAAATCTGCACAACAAAGAGGTAATATAATAAAGCAATTTAGCATAAAATTTGGACAAACTTTTGTATTACTATTTGTATATATATGCTCTCCACAAATAATAAGCATGTCCGAAACTAGTCAGTCTATTAAAGTGATCAAAGGGCCTTATGGCCAAAGCAATTGAAAATATCTAATGAATTCACTGGTCAATGATTAGTCCCTGATCTTATACTAGCAGCTATTGCTTTCAACTCTCCAGAAATTATTATTGTGTAAAATCTACTCATAAACGAAAACCAAATCTTGTGTTTATTGTAGACTTTTATTTCGTATGAAAGTGCATGTTAACGATATTCGTATATCGATGTCACCAGAAAACGACGGCAGAGTCCGGTTGTATTGCAAGCGTTTTACTTTAATACGACGTTCCAGTTGACGCAGTCCACGGGACATCATCCTTCATTTCAGGTGAAAAGGAACAGAGCTTTCGTTTGTCACATCACGAACATAATCAGAACTGAAGCTCATTCTTGCAAAATTGTCATGTTAACACAAAGTCAAGAGGACTGAAAAGTTGGCGACAACATTGGAATATAAAAAAAACATCAAAAAACTAAAAAAAGCACTAGGTGCTGCGTGTTGATATAGTCATATTCCGTTGATGAATCGAGACCGGTTACAATCCCACTATCCGAAAGACATATTTAGCACCAAGCTGCATATTTTATAGTCGAAGATATCGAACTCATTTTTACGTAAAAATTCAAGGCTCTCTCCTTGGTTATGCTGCGAATGTCAGATGATGCAGGAGATCAACGATTCGATGCTAAAAAACACACCGCAGAAATGACAGGGGATGCAGAACGAAGTATGTTTACCGAAGCTTCCAATAACGCAAAATTGAGAGCAATCAAACATAAGACAGAAAAAAAGAGATGCGAAAAGCCTGACAATTTTTGCTATCATATCTATGATTAAACAGGAGAAAAAGGTATCGTATATTTGGCTTACCGTCACCAAGGGCGGGAAGTGGTGAGGGATCATCTGAAAAATTAGCCACTAGTTGAGGAGGCAGAGCTTCAGATGACAGCTGACCAAAAGCCGAGAATGAGGCAGGCTGGGGATGCTGGAGAGGAGTAGTTGATTGATCAGGTATAAGTTCGATTGACCATCCGGCTAGAGGCGCAAATGAATGGCCAAGGCCTGATATGGAGCAGCAGCCAGCAACACCGCCGCCGGGGATATCTGGGCGGGAAATTTGGGATAGAGGAACGATAGATGGTGGCTTGGAGGAGAACGGGATAGAATCAGTGAGAGGCCCGGCCGACAGAGAGCCGGTTGCTGAAGTCGATGGCACCAGAATAGCCACTGAATTTGAATCAGAAGTAAGTGAAGGCATATTTGTGTTGCCAACTAAAATTGTATTGGTCTGTGATAAAGGTCCAGTAAGAATTGAGTCAGGGAGCGAAGTACCAAGAACGGCTGAAGAACTAACATCAGTAGCTAAAGCACTGTCATTACGACCAGAGCCAGGCAGGCAGAATTGAGTACCGCCAGAGCCGATACCAGTTACTTCAGGATTCTGTGAAGTTAATTTGTCACCTGCCGTAGAAAGTGATACCAATTGATTAAGCTGCTGTTGACGTTGCTGAGTCTGTCGCTGTACATTACTAGCACAGAGCACATGCTCATCCACGCTGACAAGATAGTGAAGAAACTCAACCAAGTCTGGACACTCACGCAGTAAAGGCACATAGCGAGCTTCTATAAGTTGAGGAAATAAATCAAAAAGAGTAAAAATAATAAAATAAAACGATAGAAGATAGAATAAGGTCAGTTAGTTTCGAGAACTACTTAATCGTATAAATAATTAACCTAATGTAATAGCGCAAGAGCAAACCGTGTGCTAGTGTGAAAATTTTAATCTCAATTCTCAACTCTCAATTTATAAGGAAATTAAAACAAATGTAATAATATATTGATAGGTATAAAGACCAAGATGGTGTGGCCTTTTGTGTGGTCGCAGTCTCCTTTCGTTGAATAGAAGTTGTT